TTTTTTTTTTTATCTAAAATTGTAATGTTATTTCAATTTACTTTTGTCTCTGACGAAGATCCAATGAGATTGGATCGAGTTTTCAATTTTATACCTTGGAAAATTAAACGAGCATTACAGAGCATCCGCATTGAAAGGCAATTTGGAAGAGTTTGCAGTTCTCAAAGAGCGTTTTTATTCAGATAGCAATTTAATTTGCCGATTTCGATCTATTCAGATCAGAGATTCTAACGCTCTTTCCAAGTAACTGCATGTCCCTTGCCATTATTCTTTCGCTAACAAATTCATTTTATACTCAAGTAATTTTTTTCTATAAGTTGGTCATTAAATATTAGGTTAGGTCTTTAGAAATTGGAACAGTTTTCGAGGAATTTTGAAAGCTTGCGATGAACTTTTTCGTACGTTAAAAGTAATAAAATGTATAATAGCCTTCTTTTCACAAACTTCCTTGAAAATTCATCATCAATCTTGCCAAAATTATAAACGTAATACCATCATGCAGTCGTGCCAACTTTACGTGGTCTCAACACTTGTCACTAAACAAAATGGATTAAGTATTAAGTAATGAAACATTTCTAATCTATTTTTTAACGATACAGGAAGCACAATGTAATTTCATTGATTTCTGAAAACTCTGAAAATTATAAGGATCTTCTGGACAATATGGTTCTATTCAATGGTGAATTGTACTCACTGTAAAATTATGCATGACGCTTCACTGTAAATTAACACTAAATTCGTACAGAATTAGTTTTAGTTGCAACTGCAGTTTAAATGCTTGCACAGAGAAGTTGAAATATGTCGAGGTCAATGGAGAAGTGGACAGAGCCACCCGTTTGTCATTCTAAAGCTTTCGTATCCTAACAGGTGACCAGGGAATATTTTTCATCCCAAATTACATTCCTTGTTCACGATCGAGCTTCCTAAAGTGTTCCGTATCTAATTTCAAACTTTTCAAATGAATTTTCAATCACGTCGGAAAGATGGGAGATAGCTTTTCAATTCGTAAAAGTGATTTATAATAAACGATGTAACATCTTCGTAACATTCTACTGCAAGGAATTTGAAGAAACGGAAACACTTCAGATTGTTTCAGAAAAATATGGAATTGTTTCAGAATTGTTCTACGGACAAATTCCTACATCGCAGATCAATTCTCTGAAAATATATATATTCTGTGAATAAATTCTTAGTTTGAGAATATATTGTTCGCTAGTCAATATTTTGAGAAAACCGTTTTTTAAATAAACAGAATCTTCCGCTGAAAAATAGACTTTCGTTTTCCTTTCTTTTGAAATTCATTACTTCGATTGGTACTAATTAGTAACGAGTGATTTTTAGCGATTTAATGTGACTGCTGACGTCATGTGGCTTTCAGCGATGGTAAATTCTTGATAAAAGAAAATCGGTTGTCGCTAGGCGTTAAGAGTGTAACACTGGTTTGTTACAGGTGTTCACCGGTGCAGCGACGTGCTTTTACGCGTTCATCGGCTTCGACATAATAGCAACCACCGGCGAAGAAGCGACAAACCCAAAGAGGAGCATCCCCCTCGCAATAGTCTCCTCGTTGATCATAATACTCATCGCTTATGTCACCAGCAGCATGATGCTGACGCTGATCGGTATGTACCGATCTTCGATTGCCTTTCTCTTTCTCGCAACTTTCAACTTAGATTAAATAGAATAAACGTTATTACGTTCGAATATAATTATCAGAAAGGCTCAGTTCGCATCGTCGGATAACTATTAAATCATTTAATCATTAATTCAGCGCGAAAGAGGATTCGAGGATTATCTTAATTTTAAATCAACGATACTTCAATTGAGACGGAAATTCTTCAATTTCTAAAATTAAATACAACTATGAAAGAATATTCTATACATAATCCCACATTGAATTGTGGTTGTTTGACGACGCTAGTTTATTTATTAACGGGCAGGCGATGGCATTTCCACTGATTATTCGCTTCAACTCTGTTATCTGCCGACTAAAAAGGCCTTTGGCCATCCTTGACCTCCCTTCATGCATCTCTGATCACCCTTCAACGACACGTGATCCTTCGCTTACCCTCGTCACAGAGGCACGGTTCGTTATGCTTCTAAATAACGGATCGTAATTGATCTTTCTAAATAATCAGCCTGTATTTTTTTTTTTTTTTTTTTTCTTTCTTCACATAAATACTCGCCAGCCACTTCGACATAATCTATTATATTAAAAAAAGATAAGAAAAACTCGTGAAAATATAAGTGGAAAAAAAGAGGAGAGTAAGAAGAAACAAAGAGAAAAGGGTTTCCTTTCTTTTTTAGTTCCATACGACGAGGTGGATCAAGATTCAGCATTGGTGGAAATGTTTGGTCAAGTTGGAGCATACAAGTGCAAATATATTGTGGCAGTTGGTGCATTAGCTGGATTGTCTGTCTCCATGTTTGGCAGTATGTTCCCCATGCCTAGGATAGTCTATGCCATGGCTCAGGATGGCCTTATATTCAGGTAACTCTTACCTGACAGTAAACTTCAATAAATCAATCTTAATAAATTTCAATCCATTTTAAATAAATATTGTAAACTGCTATATATATATTCTAAACTAAAATATTGAAGACTCTGTGTATAATTTATTAAATGGTAAATATTAAATTCCTTATATTAATTTATATAAATAATTATCCAGTTTTTTTTCTTTTATTTTATAAATATATACTATGTATTCTTTTATGCGTGTATTTCATCAAAGATAGATGACTGTGTAAGATTTGCATTATATATTTGTATGATTACTAGGAGTTTGAGCCAAGTGTGGCCAGCAACAGGTACCCCAGCCATAGCAACACTGACTTCCGGTATGTGTGCAGCCTTTGCTGCACTGCTCATTCAATTAGAAGTGTTGGTAGAGATGATGTCTATCGGT